TAAAGTGAATGCTAACTTTGAAAGATGCTGAATGCAGCGTTTTATCTCCCCTAGGTCCCTTTTATTCTGGTCAGTGAGTCACTGATGACCACATAGTTTGAGTCAATGAGAAATCAGGTTTTGGTAGAGAAGCCCATAACTGCCAGAAGTGGTTCACCAAAATGTGGGTGCCTGTCAATGGGACGCCCCGTAACAGACTGGCATGCCAGCTCAGCTCCTGGGACCTGGTTCTCAGCCCCACAACCAGGCCTCTTCCACAGTGCCTGTCATGGGGAGCACTGGTTTGTAACAGCCCATGGTGGGCTCCTTCCCTGTGTCCTGCAGGACACTGGTCCAGGAGATGCGCAGAGACTACGAAGAGCAGCTCCAGAGGCTGAAACGGCTGAAAGACCTGGAGATCGATGCAGTGACCAGTTCCAGCTCACATACCAGGTGCTGACACCTGGTGCCATATCCCCACATGAGTCCCTGGCCATGGAGTTCCCTGCTCTGCGGGAACCAGCATGGAATCATGGCAGGAGGTGCCATCCCCTCTCCCACCCACTGCTTTTATTGGTGGTGATCTGTTTAATGTTCTCTGGTACTCTAAGCAGCAGCTCTGTCCTCCTAGCACTCTGCCATGACCCAGAGAGGTTCAGGGCAGGGCTGCCCAGCCTTTGGCCCACCACACATCCCCTTCTCCCTCACAGTGAGACCAAGTGTGTCCACAGGGGTGACCCTCCCCTCCCTTCTCTCCGCAGGTCTTTGAACGGTATCATTGAGCAGATGGAGAAGTTCTCCAGCAGCCTGCATCACCTCTCACAGAAGGTGGAGGCCATGCACCACACCACATCCCAGGAACTGGCACAGCGGTGGGACAAGCAGCTCAAAGGTACTTCTGCTTTTCTTATGTGCCAGAATGTCTGCAGGATCCCTGCCAGGGCTGGGGACACCCAGGAAACAGGGAGAAGTTGCCCCACGTCAGCCAGAGAAGCTGGGGGCCAAGGCCTGTTTTGGTCACTGGACACCTCCGGGTGTCCCCTTTCAAAAAGTGTCCTGGGGATGGGCAGAAGATGATGAGCATAAACACATGCAGCTTTTCTGTGAACGTTGTGCAGGCAGAGGAGGGCTTCCCACCTCATGCTGCTCATGGCCCTGCTGCTTCCTCTCACCAGTGCTCGAGGACAGGCTGTCACAACAGAAGAGGGACATGGAGGAGGAGCAGAGCCGATTCCAGGAGGTGATGACTACAATGGAGTCCAGGCTGAGTGAGCAGGTGAGCTCGCACTGTGTCTGTTGCCCAGGCCAGCCCCCCTGTCTGGCGGTCGATGTACAGCGTTGCCCATTGGAGGTCCCTGGCCTGGAGTCTGTGAGTGGCATCTGTCTTTCCTCTGTGTCTGAACCCAGGAGAGATGGAGGCTGGTGGCAGAGCAGTCCAAAGCAGAATTGCTGCAGCACTCACTGGAGGAGCAGCGGCGAGGCATGACCCAGCAGCTCTCCATGGAGCGAGCAGAGCTGGAGAGGGAGAAGGTGAGGTGGGGCAGACATCTCCAGGTGTTTTCTGCATGTCCCTTGAGTCTGACCAGAGCTGCAGTGTATAGTAGAAGAGAGATTTGGGTACTGGGCTGTAGCATCCTTCCTCTGCCCTCTGCCTCCTCAATCCCACACCTGGTCTCACAGTGAATCACAATCAGACCAACCCTCTTGCACACAGATGCAAGAGGCTTCTGTGTGTGCATGATTCACACTGGTTCTCGAGGAGCATGGGGCCAGAGCTCTCTATGCAGGGTTCATGTCAGGTGTCATAGGCTTGAACAAGCTTGTAGACATTGCGTGGTGTTTGGTGGCAGAGATGAGTTAAAGGAGTAAAATACTGTGGCAAATGGGACTTGGTGCTTTTCTCTTCCTCTCTTGCGATGCTCTCCAGAGTGCATTGCTGGAAGAGCGACAGAAGCTGGAGCGCGACATGGACCGAGCTCTGCAGATGGCCTCCCAAAGAGAGAGCACCATCATGAGCCTAGCCAAGGTACCACAGTAGAGCCCCTTCCTGTGGCCTCCAGTGCTTCTTGGCAGGCTCACAGGTGGGTCCTGCCTGTGGGGAGGTGTTCAGCGTTGCCTTCGGGTGTTTAAGACTGAGACTTCACTCGGGGTGCTGAGAATCCAGCTGTTCCAGGAACAGCCTACACCAGCCTGTTTTAGAGATGGACTTAAGCGTCAGTTTCTGTCTCCCCTTTGCCTGTGAGGAGGTTGGGCAGCCAGCCCAGGTGCAGCTGCTTCCGTTGTAAGTCTGGCAAGATGAAGCAAAACCTCCCTGTACCATGGGGATGTGTCCAGTTCCAGTTCTGCTCCCTGCTGGGGCTGTCCAGAGGGGATATGTGGCACAGGCAGCATGGCAAAGCTGCATTTGTAAGGACTACAAGGGTGAAAAATACCACGTTCAGGCTAAATATTTCCACTGCTGACAAAATGCCATGCCTTGAGCATGTTTTAGGGTATGCAACATGGTGGGGGGCTCCGTCCCTTCTGGGGAAAGAGTGTGTTTGTGTATCTGTTACAGTCCAAGCTGTGCCAGCCCTGCCCTCCAACGGTGGGTGTATGAGGACACTGCTTGGGTGCCTGGTGGTGCTGCTCTGCACCCAAAACTGGCACACATGAAAAGCTCAACAGGGCTGGTGATGCACTAGTTTTCCCTGTGCCCACACTAGGAGCAGGCAGAGCTGAAGATCCAGAGCCGTGAGCTGAAAGTGAAGGAGAATCACTTGTTGAGGGACAGGGAGCTGCTGGAAGAAGCATGGCAGGAGCTGAGGCATGAGAAGGAGAAGGTGAACAGGGCCGCACTGCACATCCAGAACCGTGAGGAGGAGATTAAAAGCACGACCAAGGCAAGTGGAGCATCTGCAGTGCAATTCACAGCTGTATGGCAGCCAGCAACAAAGCAGGGGTTTCCCATCCCTCCCAAAGTCATGAACCTGAATCCTGTCCTGGGAGGGGGACGAGGGGATGCACAAAGGAGCCCTGCCTCAGGGCAGCGAGGGTCCCTGTCCCCAGCCTCCCCAGCTGCTCTGTCTTGCAGCTCTCATCCCAGAAGTATGAGGAAGGGGAGCGAGCCCTGCGGGAGGCACGCAGGGTAGAGTCCGAGCACCAGAGCAGGCTGCAGGTCATGCAGCAGCACTTGGAGCAGCTAAAGCAGCAGGAACAGCATCTGCACCAGGCAAATACCCCCAAACCTTCCCTTCTTGTCTTGGGGCTGCCATGCCAGGGGCCTGGACCTTTCCCAACAGCTTCTCTCCTGGGGATGGGGCAGGAGCGGCTGAGCATGGCTCGCCAGAGGAAACAGCTTGAACAGCTACGTAAGGTGCTAGCCAGGAGCCCTGTGATGCTGCGGACTACAGGCAAGGACCTCGGTGCCCCTGTGACAGGCCTTTCCGCCACACTGCGTAAGGCTTCCTGCATGCTGCTGGTGGGAAGGGACATGCTGGGGGCAGCTGCACTTGTATTCCGCTTAGGAGGCTTGAGGTGTTCCTGGGAGCTGTTTTAGTTCCCCTGTATATAAACCTCAGATGTGGCTTGCCCTCCTTGTCCTCTAAAGGAGCTCAGCTGAGCTCTCTGAGTGAGGGCATCGCCTGGAAGGGGAAGGAGGGGTGAGACAGGTGGGTTAAACCTCCTGCTTGCACTGGAAGGCTGGGGAGGATCCTGCTGCAGGGACATACAGGCAGCAGAAAACGAAAAGGGATGCTCTGTTGTCTCCTTAACAGCGCAGGCACTACGCAGTGTTCCAGGCTTTCTGCCTCCCATCCAGGAAGCCCTGTCCATGGCCAGCCCCACTGACCACTACATCAGCCTGCTGCTGCTGAACTACAGGGCCCAGCAGGTGAGGTGATAGGAGACCATGGGTGGAAGGAGCTTCCGTCAGCGGGGTTGGAGCAGGCTGGGTGAAGCCTGGTAGTGATAGGCTGGAGGGTCTCCTGAGATCATTTCTGAGCTGCTGGGCTGGCATCTTGAGGGGCAATACCAGAAGCAGGGATGGGTGGATCCTCACAGCTTGCCTCAGGTTCGTGGAGAATATCCCTGACTTTATGGGGTTGCCCCTCCTCTCACCCCATCCCTGGGTGGAAGGAGCTAGTTCTGCTGGACTCTGGCTTTGTGATAACCGCGTCCTCTCCTGTCAGCTCCTTTATGGGTCCTTCTCCAGGCAGGGATGCTCGTTGAAGCTGCTTCTGTGTGAGGTTATGGGCTTGTGAGGTGGGGCATTACACCCAGGGGTTACCACAGACAGGTACCTGCCCACGTGAAAGAGGATTTGGGACACTTCCCTTACTCATGAGTGACACCTTGAACTGTGACCCCGTTCCTGTGGCACTCTGATACCAATCCTCTCCATCCCGCTCAGGACCACCGTTTCTTAGAAAATGAGCAGATCTTCCTGGACAGCCTGAAGAAAGCGCCCTACACTACTTGAACCCTGTCATGTTGAGGAGGTGGCAGCCCTACACGCTGCTCTGGGAATGGCTGTGTCCATCCTTGCAGGAGGCCACCATGCCCTCTGCATGGGCTGGGAACGACAAACATTAAATAATCCCAGTTTTCATGGAGGAACTGTCCTTTTCTTTAAAAACAGTCTTGGTATGTTCCGAGTGTGAAACCCCTGCCTGAGGCTGCAAGAACACACTTTGTCCGGCCTCCACCCCACACGCCAGTGCCACTGGCAATGCCTGGGAGGCAGTTGCCCTTGGGGGCAGGATTCAGTTGGTGTGCTGCTGGCTCTTGGGCAGGGCTGTAACAGCCAAGCCATTAGAGGGGATGGCGGAGGTTTGCTCTTGCTGCAAGGCTGTGTGGCGGCTCTGCCCCGGGGCTTCGATGACATTCCGCAGCACCCCGAGGCCATTCCACAGCTCACTGGCAGCTCCAGCTTTTCCTCCGGGAGCCTTTTCCTGCAGAAACGTGGCTGCTGGGCTGGGCTTCTGCTTCCCTCCCAGCCGCTCGCTTCGCTTCGCTCCGCTCCGAGCTGCGGAGCGAGGACCAAGGCCGCGGACGGGGAGGGGCGTCCCGGGCGTGGGAGGAGTCCGTCACCCTGAGGCTGTGGGGACGTTTGTAGCCAGGCGCTGGCTGGGACAGCCCCGTTGCTATGGCAGCGGGGGCCCTTCAACGCAGACCCTGCGCGGCAGAGCCCCTGTCGCTATAGTAACGGGGGCCTTCCGCTACCGGAGACTGCATCATGGCGGCGACGTTGCTGATGGCGGCGCGGTGCGGTGCGCGGCCCTTCGGCACGGCCGGTGAGACACGGGTCGGGGAGCCGCGGTTCCGCACGGGTGGGCAGCGGGAGCCGCTCGGGGCTGGAGGGGGAGCAGGAGAGCTCACGGACGCCTGTGTTCCCCAAGCGGGCTTGGGGTGGCACCGGCCCGGCCCGGCCCCTGCTCCTGCTTTCCGTGGGCTCCCTCGGTCTCGTTTCCCGTTCTGTGTGTGAAACGGGTACTCTCTTCGCTTCCAGCCGCCCTCTGGAAGCGGGCAGCCCCGCTGGGACCGATGCCCAACGAACATATCGACGTCAGCAACTTGGAAGCGCTGGAAAAATACCGCAGTTTCACTCGTTACTTCAAATTGGCGGAAAAAGAGAGCAGGAGGCCCCGGTGGTGGAAGACGTACCGGCAGCACACCAGCCCGCAGCCAGGTACTCGTGGAAGGAGCCGCACGTCATGGGTTTGCTGCTAAAGCTCAGGGAAACTGGGGGTGTCTCTGTAAAGAGCTGCTGAGGTGCTCTGGCTCAAGGCTTGTCCTGTTCTGATGCTTTTGTTTTGTTTCAAAGTTTGTAATGCACAAACGTCTTCAGGGGAAAGGGGCTACAGTTTTCTGAATGGAGGGAGGCTGGCCACCTCCCAAATGACGTTGAGCAGGGTAACAAAATGATTCCTGGGAATCCCAGGACCTAGAACTTTAGACCTGCAGCAAGCAACACAGTTCAGCTTCCCTGCTGAGCAGTCCAAGACCAGAGCTGCTCACCAGCTGGGAAACCCACAGGGCTGGGAATGCTGTGAGCTGGGGAAGGAAGGAGCAAAAGTGTAGAGGTGGAGGGGGAAGGTGGTAGAATTGAGTCCCCTATGTCTTGAAGTTTGCATCTCTCTCACACTCTGTAGCATGCTGCAAGGGGTTTGTGTTTGGGTGTTTGAGGTATTCTCATTTTTACATACTGACTTTTTCATCCCTTTCTGAAGAGCCAAAGACTGACATCAGTCTGCCACATGATAAGCTGTTGCGGGCAAAAGAAATCAAGAAAAGAAAAAAGATCCTGAGGGAGAACCACCAGAATACTGAGATGGAAAGAGCAGCCCGGCTCCGGACTGGTCTGTGCCCTACCACCTATCCTCCCTGCCCTGGCTGCTCTGGGTGCCCAGCTGCCTCCTGCAGTGTTTCTCTCTCCTTGCAGTGCTGATTCCCCTCAACGAAGTCAGAGCTGAGTGGGAGAAGAGCAGTGGCCCATTCCACAAGCAGCGCGTAGCAGAGCACTGTGGGATATTTCGTGACTTGTTCAAGGGAGCTACGTTCACCCCTTGGGTTACCTTGAGGGTGGAGTACAGCCAAGAAGATGAGTACCTCGTGCCAGTATACTATGGGAACATCATAACTCCATCAGAGGTGTGTGAGGGGAGCAGGGAGCAACCTCAACCCCATGGGAAGCCTCTGTGTTTCTGTCAGATGCTTCTAACAGGCATTGTTTGTTTTGGGGGGTTTCTTTTAAAAGGGTATTTTCTCTGTAATGAAGGAAATCTGTTTCCTGGACATGAGAAGGACAGAGCTTTGCAACAGTATCACTGTCTACCAGCAGGCTGATGTTCATTAAGGCTCCAGGAGCCTCTCCATGTGAAGCTGGGTGGTATGGCTCTGTCTAGTCTGTGTTGCATCCTGGCCTTGCCCACAAGAAGTCCATGTTCTTTGCCTTGGAAATTGTGCTCTGGTCTTAATGGAACCTGTTTGAGCAATGCATGTTCTTTTTATGTTGTTCTTTTAGGCTTCTGGTCCCCCTGCAGTGGCGTATGAGGCAGATAAAGGCTCTCTCTGGACCTTGTTGCTCACAAATCCAGGTGAGTAGTGAGTTCTTTAATAAAACATGTTTAAACTGGTTATTTCATTCTGCTTTTGGTTAGCTTCTGTTTCCTTTGGGAAATAACCAGAGATGATGTGATACCTGCTAAGCAGGGATATATTACATGTGCAGAAAACGCTGTAGCCTCCCCAGGTCTGTGGCTGAGAGACGGACAGTGACACAACAAAATCTCTGTCACAGTGTATAGGAAACAATTCCCTGGCTCCCATCTTTTGTTTACCCCTAAACTCCTCTCTCCCTTGGCAGGTCTGCCTGGGAGGCAGGTTAACTGACATTATTTGAAACCAAGGCACAGCGAAGTGAAGCAGATGACCGAGAAGTTCTATGAGTCTTGGAATTACATCTGTAGAGTTTTTTTCTCCTCGTTTTAAGCCCAGTTCTTATTAGATTGGGTTACTTTTGTGATAGGAAAGGAATGCTGGGAGGTCTCAAGCTGCACCCTCCATTCAAAGTGTTTACTCTTTGGGATTGATACAAACACCAGGGTGCCCCAAGTCGCCTTTCTCTGTTTTTTTGTGTTTGCAGATGGACATCTAAGAGACACAGACTCAGAGTACCTCCACTGGCTGGTGTGAGTACATCAGAGGGATGTGCTGTTTAGCCCAGGGAAAGCCCTGGCAGAGCAGGTAGAAACTCCTCCAGCAGAGCTGGGGAATAAACATTTACTACAGCAGTTCAGTGGCTTGCTTTGGTGCTCCTGCCATTAGCTTTTTTGCCCCTGTATTCTGGGTTCTGCTAAACCTGCAGTAGTTCCAGGTGTTGTTGCTGTTCGGCATTCAGATCACTGGGTATGAATTTTCGTCCAGTGAAAGCAGTCTCTACTATCTGTTCACTTGTTGAACAGGGCACCAGTCATGTGAAAACACAGCACGGAGTGATTTGCAATTCTGGGTTGAGTCTGCTGATTCTAATGGAGGGAAATGAATGAGTATATTGAAGTAAACTTCTTTGTGTTCAGGACGAATATCCCAGGCAATGACTTTAAGTCAGGTAAGGAGATCTGCCACTACTTACCGCCCTTCCCTGCCATGGGAACTGGCTACCATCGCTTCATCTTCCTCCTCTTCAAGCAAGACCGCCCCATAGATTTCAGTGAGGATGTTCGGCCGATGCCGTGGTAATTCAAGCTTTTGCTGGGTGGTTTTGCACTCCATTGGCTTGGTTATTAGTGCTATGATCACGTGGTTGTTACTGCTGTAAGAGAGCAGTTCTTTTTAATCTGCAGGGTTGTTTGGAGCTGCTTTGAGGTTTTGTGTCACCTGAAGCCACAGTCTCAGCCCTGCAAGCACTGTGGTGTCATGTTGCTTTAAACAGGCTGTTAAGAAAGTGATTTGTTCTGCATGGGGCAGGAATGTGCATGGAACTGGAGAAGCTGTGAGGTTTACTTTTGGTGACTTCCTTTTGATAGAACCCTAGAAAACTTGGGTTGGAAGGGACCTTCAGGTTTACCCAGCTCCAATCCCTGCCATGGGCAGGGACACCTTCTACTAGAGCAGCTTGCTCCAAGCCCCTGTGTCCAACCTGGCCTTGAACATTGCCAGGGATGGGGCAGCCACAGCTTCCCTGGGCACCCTGTGCCAGTGCCTCAACACCCTCACAGGGAAGAAAAGAGGTTATATTCCTCTGTTTTATAGACTCTGGGGTGATGTGGGGAAGTAGTTGCCTACCATGATGCTGCAGGAAAAGAGGTTTACCTGAGATGTTGTGCTTGTGTCTTCTTTCCAGCCACAGCCTCAAGATGCGAACCTTTAGCACATTTGACTTCTACAGAAAGCACGAGGATGCAATGACCCCAGTAGGGCTGGCATTTTTCCAGTGTCAGTGGGATAGCTCCGTTACTGGGGTCTTCCATCAACTTCTCAGTAAGCAATGCAGTGTGCAGAGGTGCTGGAGGGAGGCTGTTGGTGGAGTGGGACATGGTCCTGTGAGTAGTGCAGAGGGTTGCTGAGTCAGCTGTGACTGGAGGGTCGCACTTGTTCTTGGCAGTTGTCTAGGATCTGTTACAGCACAGACTGGGTACTTAAATGAGCCATCATCCCACAAACAAACAAACAGCAATCTAAAACAGCATCTCAAAGAACGTTTTGATTGAGTGTTTTAAAATAACAGTGACACAACCTTCACCAGCACATGCTTGACCAGCCCTGGTCCTGTGTGCACATGGGGGCCCTTGCTGGTGAAACGGGATGTCTGAGGTTTGGGACTGAGCCATCTTGCTGACATTCTGCATTACCCCTTTCCAGATATGAGAGAGCCTGTGTTTGAATTTGTGCGGCCGCCCATTTACCATCCTCCGCAGTTGAAGTTCCCGCGCCACCAGCCTCTGAGGTACCTGGACAGATACCGAAATACTCAGGAGCCCACCTACGGCATTTACTAGGGACCCAGACACTTCCTGCAGCACTCAGGCGTAAGCTGGATGCCAGCCAGGCAGATGGAGCTGCCAGTGTTCCTGCATTCACACAGCTGGGGGCATCTGCACCTCTGGAGGGAGACAACAAAGTCTCAGCCCCTCAGCTACTGGTTCCCCTGTGCTGGCAGCACTGGGAACTGAACAGCCGGGGATGACAGGGCTTGCGCTGCTGGTGGCTGTGTGATTAAAATGCTACTTAAGTAAAGATGGATGAAAGCAAATCCATGGCCAGGCTGAAACCTTGCTACTCGTTGTATAGGAGTTCTGATCAGTATGGGTGTCAGAGTCTCCCCAGAGATGCCTTGCTTTGTTTCTCTGCAAGGATCACAGTTGCACTGCTGCCTGTTCATGGAACAAAAAGAGCCAGGCCAGCCTGGATTTCCTTCTCTTGAAGCACTGCAGTTTAGGACTGTGTTGGCTTTTGTTTGTGCAGTTCTCTTTAGAGACAAGTTTGATTAAACACCCTGAGTGAGGCTGGCAAGAGATGTCTTTATTGGGAAGAGCTTAGTATTTTGACCAGCTGGCATGGAGCTGAGGATCTCAGAGGGGTGGACTAACGATACAATCGCATAACAACCTTAATTTCCTGAGTCAAAACACTTGGCATAGCCAAGGACATGGGTCCTACCAAAAGGTGTCCCTTCTGGGGAGGGTGAGTACAAACCCATCCATCTGTCCCTGCGATGTTGTGTCATATTTTTACCCCCACTTAGGGACAGAGTTGGAATACCTTGTTAACTATTATTGTACAAAGTGCTGGGGGTGGGACTGTGTTCAAACCCTGTGTTCCTTGTTGTGTTGTACGGCTTATTTCTTGGTACCAGGTGTCCCTCTACTTAGTGGCAGGTGTACAAAACATTGATTGGTATCAAAGCAGAAGAACAGGGCTGTGCAGCATCTGCCCTGCTTCGTGTTGCTCCCCAGTGCCACAGCAGCACCAGCCACCAGACCTCATCTGGTTTCCATGCCTGCTGCAGGCACCCTGGGCCTCATCACCCACCTTGAGCTTTTGCATTTTTACTCACTGATTCATGTTTCCAGTGGAGAGACTCTGCTTTCTGCTGGGCTCTTTCTGGATCCTCCGATCGCATGTTCAAACCCCCAGATACCAACATGCTGCTGCAACTGCCTCTTCCCAGCTCTGGTTCACAGTAACTTTTTCTGAAGTTTCCCCCTTCATCAGGAAATAAGATCTTCCATCAAACAACTGAGATTGTGCTGAAAAATTCTTCCCTGTGAGGGTGCTGAGGCGCTGGCACAGGGTGCCCAGAGAAGCTGTGGCTGCCCCGTCCCTGGCAGTGTTCATCCAGGTTGGATACAGGGGCTTGGAGCAACCTGCTGTAGTGGAAGGTGTTGCTGCCTGTGGCAGGGGGTTGGAACTGGATGAGTTTTGAAGGTCCCTTCCAACCCAAACCAGTCTGTGGTTCTATGACTTGCCAGCTCCCTGAAGATCACGTCTGCAAAGGTAAGGAGATAAGGTTTAGATTGTAAGGTTGGGAGCTTTTCTCCTGAATAAAGGGTGAAGGTTTGCAGTGCATGGGCATCACTATCACCTCCAGGCAGAATACTCTACCCGAGCAGAGGCTGGTTGCTCAGGTGATACCTTTCCTATATTCGGAGTACCGACATGTAAGGAACTTAGCAGGAAAAGGAGTGGTGGGTGTGCACAGGGGCATGTGCAAACAGCAGGACCTGTACTTTAAAATGGAAAGATGCAAAGGCAGAATGTAGCCATGTCTGGCTGCTGGCATGTATCATAGCCCTTGTCACTGCAGGAGGTGACATGGCAGCAGCAGCAGTGGGTGCCCCTCTCTGTTGGTTCCGTGGCTGGATGATGTCAGGACCACTGTACTGCAGTCTCTGCCAGGGAGGACTGCTGTGTTCTGCTCAGGAGACATGAGGATACCAGGAAGTTCCCTCAAAGGGCAAAAAAGGAGTGAAATCACACTACATCGTATGTACAGCCATGCAATGAATGCACCAAAATGCACATTGCTCTGGTGCTTGTCAGCCACTTGCATCTGTCTGCCTGTGGTGTTGCTGCAGTGTTTCATTCTCCAGGGCCTCCTGCTGAACTTCACAGCCCTCCCTCTCCCTGAGAGATGCGGCTGCAACCCTCCCCATCATCTTCCAAGCGTGAGACATAAGCCAGTGCGGTGAGGGTGCACCCACTGGGCGTCTCCTTTAAGAGCATGCCTGGCTCGGCGCTTTGACCCGCCTCTCGGCTCCTCCTCTGAACAACTAAGTTTCTGTTTCCCCAGCTTTCGCTTGTCACCGTGACCCGTGGTGGAGGCAGGATGGCATCACCCAGCTCGAAGAAGCTGGAGGAGAAGCTAGTGTGCTCCATCTGCCTGGAGCTTTTCAGGGTGCCTGTGACCTTGCCGTGTGGGCACAACTTCTGCAAGCTCTGCATCAGCAACCACTGGCAAAAGCAAGCGCAGGAGCCCGCCTGGGCAGAGAGCGGCTACACGTGCCCCGAGTGCCGCAGGGGCTTCAACCAGCGGCCAGAGCTGGAGAAGAACGTCACCCTGTGCAGCGTGGTGGAGCTGGCACGGGATGGCGTGGCGTGGGTCTTGGGCACAGAGAGGTGTGAGGTGGCCCGCGGCGAGCTGTGCCCACAGCATGGGCGCCTGCTGGAGCTGTATTGCAAGGATGAGCAGCGGTGTATCTGCTGTGTCTGCACGGTGTGGCAGTGCCAGCGGCACCAGCGGGTGCTCTTTGAGGAGGAGCGCTCAAAACAGCAGGTGAGAACGATGGGTGGCAAGACTGTGGCAATGAGGAGGGTGAAGCAGGGCAAGTTGTGGCAGCTCTGGCATGGCACATCCATCTGCGCTGTCCTGTGCCCTGCTGTGGGGACATGGTGTGTCTCCATGTACTGCCCTGTGCCTATCCTCAGCTGAAAGGGGGACTGGCATGTGCTTTGATCAGAGAGATGTGACAGGCCAAGGGAATGGCTTGAACCTGCCCGAGGGGAGACCGAGCTGAGCTCTTAGGCAGAAGCTCTTCCCTGTGAGGGTGCTGAGGCGCTGGCACAGGGTGCCCAGAGAAGCTGTGGCTGCCCCATCCCTGGCAGTGTTCAAGGCCAGGTTGGACACAGGGGCTTGGAGCAAGCTGCTCCAGTGGAAGGGGTCCCTGCCCGTGGCAGGGGTTGGAGCTGGAGGAGCTTTAAGGTCTCTTCCAACCTAAGCCATTCTATGATTCTGTGTCAACAGCACCCAGCTGCTCCCTGAGAAATCTGAGGCTGTCAAGAGCAACAGAGAGCTAAATAAATCCAGCAGCACCAGATGAACAGTGCCATAGGTAGTTGTGACCCACTGATCCAGAAGGAAAAGTTTAAAAAGGGGTGAAAAACAGCCTAGGATTTCACTTCTCTCTGACTCTAGATGCAGCCTCTCCCCTTCTCAAGCCTTCTCCTTCCCAGTGGGCCTTGTCATGCAGCCTGAAGAGGGTTCCCAGGCGCTGGGTGGGGGGCAGCATGCTGCACCATGGTACATTGGTGCTTCATTTCACAGGCTCTTTTGAAAGAGTCCATGGAAAAAGCCCAGAAGGAATCAGAGAAGATCAAGGAGGTGATGAAGGAGCTGGAGGAGCAAACACTCAGCATCAAGGTAACGCTGTGGCTGCCTCTGTGCCAGGTGCAGGGGTGGGAGTGTGCCAGCTCTAATGCCTCCTCTCCACTCAGGACTCTTCCGAGGGTCTCAAATTGGTGATTCTGAGCAAATTTGCCCTCCTGAAGAAAGCCCTGGAGAATTGCCAGTGGCAGACAGTGGCCAAGATCGAGCAAGAGCAGGCCGTGGCACTGGGACGTATGAGGGAGGACTGGAACCGCCTGAAGGACCGCCTGGACACTCTCAGCCAGCACAGGGAGAGGGCTCAGCAACTCCTGGGCTGCCCTGACAACAGGACCTTCCTCCAGGTACCATCCCACAGAACTGCACACACACAGAACCACAGAATGCTTTGGGTTGGAAGGGACCTTAAAGCTCCTCCAGTTCCAACCCCTGTCATGGGCAGGGACACCTTCCCCTAGAGCAGCTTGCTCCAAGCCCTTGTGTCCAACCTGGCCTTGAACACTGCCAGGGATGGGGCAGCCACAGCTTCTCTGGGCACCCTGTGATGCCCTTTTGGTGAGGGCAGACACTTGGTCGACCCCGTTCCCCAGGAGAAACACATCCTCAGCTTGGCTCTGGGATGCGATGGGGCTGAAGGGAAGTGCTGCTTTTGAGAGGGGTCCCTGAAAATTTGGGGCACAGTGCTGGATTGGAACGGATGGTGCGTGCCGCAGGGCCATGGGCAGCATCTCCCACCCCCAAACCACTCCGCAAGGCTCTTCCACCCCCCCAGCAAAACAGTCTTGTGCCACAGCTCCTCTGCTCCTCACAGCTTCACACTCACCTTGCAACTGACCCCTGACCGCTGTGCACCAGCCACAGCTGACAGCAGATGTTTTGGGGATGCCCCCATCACCCACTGGAGAGTGTGTGGTTGAGAGTCGGAGCTTCTCATCCTCCTTAGGCCTGTGCGTGCATATTGTGTGTCTGTCCACAGGAGTTCCCCCTGCTCTCATCTCTGGAGAGCCCAGAGGCGCTGCTCCCAATGGAGTTTGATGTGGCTGGCATGGTCAAGCCCATCACTGAGATCCTCAACAACATCTCCAGGCTTCTGCTGGAGGACCTGCCCAGCTCTGTGGCCCCCGAAGCCCTTGACCCTGTTGTCCAAGGTAACCCGTCTGATCAGAGAGCCACCCAAAGGGCTCCAAGTCATCCTGAATCACTGCCTGGCCCATGTCACCATTCTGGGGACAGGGCTGCTGGGCACAGAGGGTTGGGATGGGGAAACACATCATGTTCAGCAGATGGATGTCAAGAGATGGGGGAAAGAGCTGGGTGGCTTCCCTGTGGCTTTCTTCCTTGCTGGCAGTGTCAAACTGCAGTGGCATGTGACCACTCCCAGAATTGTATACAATGGGCTTCCTCCTCCTCCTCCTCCCATCAAAGCCATGGAGAAACAGGTTTTTGGGTGGCATCACTCAAAATACTTGTCCCCATCCTACACAGGCCCAGTGCATCCCCAGGAAATGGTGGTGAAGGTGGCAGCCCACCTCCCTGATTGCCAGTTCCGAGCTGAGCTTCTGAAGGGTGAGGAGAACGTGGGATTCCTAAGGGACAGCACTCCCCTGGGGTCCCAGCAGGCAAGGGAGGTTGGTTGTGGCTGCAGGGGCAGGCTCCTTCCCTTGTTCTTCCAATCCCTCTCCCTAAACTTGGAGAATGGTGATGGGCTGGGGGATACTGCACAGCTGGGCAAGGGCCATGAGGAGGATTAGGTGCACCAGGGAACACTTTCCCATGAAAATGGAGGCTGCCAGTGCCTGGCATTGGGTCTGCCACTGACCTGGATCTTACCTCATCCCCATCCTCTCTCCTTTCACCTTCCTTAAGTGTCTCTGCTGTCTGTTCCTTATGATCCATATGTAAACATGGTGCTTTTCTGCATGCAGTGCAGCAGCTGGCAAGTGATTACCCCAGGCTGGGCCATGAGCTGCCCTGCATAGCACAGCACCAGTCCAGAGCCCTGCCTGCAGTCAGTCCTCTATCCAGGGATATGGCCTCAGTGCTGCCAGCCACAGTCCTTCAAGTCTTCTTTGGGCACATCCCACTCTAATTCCTTAGGGATTTCCTCTTTTCCCATTTCCCCCCTGCTGGGAAGAGGGCTGGATAATGTTGAGGGTATGTTGGTCATGTCACTCTTGCCAGGAAGATGATCGATGTCCTGGGACCTGTGAAGATTCCTTCCATCAAGGCCCCCAAAACACTCTCAGGGTTATTAATTGAAAAAAAAACCCAAACAAACAAACAAAAAAAAAACCCAAAAAAACAAAACCCAAAGTTATCTCTGGGCAGCAGCCTCAGCCCAGCATAGCTGCCAGGCTGGGGTACTGCAGGAGGAAGATAAGGTGCTTGCGGCCAGTGAATACCCATGGCTCAAGAACTTACTGCAGCCAGTGCAGAGAAAAGTGACTCCCCACAGTACCGTATTTGCTCACTTAATGCCTGGGTTTCTCCCCCTCTCCCCACCCACACCCATCTCTTTTGGTCTTAAAACCAGGCACATCTCTTCCAAAACAACCACAGGGCCATGGCTGCTCACTGGCTTTGAGCCAGGCTGTGCAAGAAAAGCAGGAAGAGCTGCATCTTCGTTCCTCACCAGCTATTTCTGGGCTGTTTCATTCCCTCTGGGAGGTGGGTGGGCAGGTATTGCGTCTCACCCTGCTTCCCCTCCCCTCCAAACACACTACAGATTGTTCCCTTCTATTTTGGGAGCCAGCCCTATGCAGTTTAAACCACAGCACTGCTGGGGGAGATCATGCCAAGGGCATAAAGGTCTGATGAAGCGTTTCAGCCCCATTCATGCTGTTGCTCTTCCCAGACCACCGCAACCTGACCTTTGATCCCAAGACGGCCAACAAGTACCTGGAGCTGTCAAAAGGTAACCGGAAAGCCAAGCACAGCCCCGGCACCATCTGTAGGCGGCAGGAGCAGGGACCCTGCTTCGAGCCCTGGCAGGTGCTGTGCATGCAGGGCTACAGCCATGGCCACCACTACTGGGAGGTGAAGATCTCCAACCACTCCGTTGTCCTGGGGGTGACCTATCGCAGCCTCCCCCAGGAGCGGAAGCAGGGACACAAGTTCAACATTGGTCTGGATGGGGGCTCCTGGGGGCTGCAGGTGCGGGAGGACTGCTACCTGGCCTGGCACAAGGGCCGGCCGGAGAAAATCCAGGAACAGCTGTGTAGGAACCTGGGGGTCAGCCTGGATTATGATAAGGGGCTCCTCTCCTTTTACGGGCTTGGGGAAAGGACATGGCTTATCCACTCCTTCCATGATGTCTTCACCGAGCCCCTCTATCCCGTGTTTTGGCTGTGCGAGGGGCGAGCAGTGGAGCTGTGCTGGAGGGATTAAGCCAGCACAACCGTGTGGCTCTGCGAACCAGACCACAAGCCATAGACTGGTGCCATAGCCAAGCTGCAGCCAGTGGCTGTCACAGTGCGAGTGGGACCCCAGTGCCGAGTGGGGTGCAGTGTTTTAACAAGAGCTTATGAGGACACACATACAAATGAACCCTCTGATCTGCATGTGCAAGTATCATGCAGATAGCACAGGGCAGGGGAAAGCTTGCAAGGGCCAGTTGCTGGGTGAGGTGTAAATGGGGTGAGGTGGGGAGATAGGGAGGGTGAAAGAATGAGTTTTTTCCTCTTTCTTCCATCCTTGCCCAGTCTCCCAAGCCTAGATTTGAGGTGAGGGGAACTCTAGAGAAGGGTGCTGTGGAGAAGGGTGCTGTTGGAGGGAACCCTGTGCTCATCCGAATCCTATTTCCCTCTTGCCACTCTTGGACATGGCAGAGCAACTTTTTTTGGGTGCCATGCTGCATTTGTTCAATGTATGAAGCTGTTTTCCCCAGTAAAGCCCTATTTTACTACTGGTTTAACCTTTGTGATGGTGGAAGCTGTGGGACTAAGCAGTGGGGGGGGGGGGGGGGTGAGCTGGGTGCCCTGGGTATCTCTGCTCCACACTAGATGCTTTATTTATGGTAGCACTGCAATGAGGAAACCTGGTTCCCTACAGCTCTGCTCCAAGGTTGATCCAGCACACAATAAAATCTGAAGCTTTGATTGAAGCTTTTCCAAGGGCGAGACTGCAGGTCTGGGATCTCCTCCTCTCCCCCAGAATGCTGGGGAGGACTAACAGGGTGAAACTGGGCACTGGGTTCAAAGGTGCTGGGGACATGGAGGGCAATGCCTGAGGAATGAATCACATCAGCTTGTTTCCTTTGGGGAAAAGAAAGGGTTTAAAAGGCACAGTCTCCTTCATGGACAGATGTGTTTTGTTGTGCTATGTTTCCTCCTTCACTCCGCGCTCCTCCCAGCCGTGTCCTCAGGTGGGACCTTGGCCCAGCATGGACCTGGGAACTTATCCAAGCCAAAAGAATGTATATTGTATCCTCTACACAGGATGTGTCTGAAGATGCCATGTTTATCAGACAGATCCTCATGTTGGGAGCACTTTGGTGCCTTCCCATCCCAGCCTGGTGCCTGCCGGATGCAGAGAAGGAAGGGACAGGGACAGAGGCAGGACCTGAGTGCTGCAGCTTTTCCTAGACATGGGAATGGCTGATGTGGGGCCGTAATCATGAGGGTGGTAGGAAAGCACCTGCATCTATTGTCCTGGTTTAAGCCCAGCTGGTAGAACCCCGCAGCCGCTCCCTCACTCCTCCTTTTTTCCCCTTTCGCCCCCCCAGAGCAATGGAGAGGAGAATCAAAAGAATGTAAACTGAGGTAACAGCAGTCCAGTAACTAAGGTATAAGACAAACCCACTACTGCTACCACCAGTAATAATAATGATAAGGGAAATAACAAGGGGACAGAATATGACACTAAAAGGGGAAAACAATAAACAAAAGTGATACCCAGTACAATTGCTCACCACTTGCCAATCGATGCCCAGCCCTACCTGACCAGCGATCTGGGCAGCAGATCTTGGAAGGGGGATTGGGATGGGCTGGCAACAGCTTCCCTGCACAGGAAGATTTTGCAGGTGTGCAGCAGGTTCTCCTAGGGGCACCAGAACCCCGGGGACGGTCCGGATTCCAGCAGGATGCATCCTTTAGGACACAGCAGGCCCTGGTTGGGGGGCAGTGTATCCCTCTGGGGAAGTGGATCTCCAGAAGGCAACAGATGCCGGGGAAAGGGTCCTCGGGGGAGGGGGGGTGGGGTGGTGGTGATTGGGGACCAGGTCCCGGGGGTAGGGGGGTCAGGATCCCCGGGAGGCAGCCGACCCCCGGCAACTGCGGAGAGCGGAGCGGCGGCAGCGGGTAGGCGGAGCGGGCGGGCGGGCGGGGCGCGGCAGCCACCCGCCTTCCTCCGGGCCCGGGGGCTGGGGCGGGCGGCGGGGCTGCCTGGTGTTGGGCGCTCAGAGATGGAGACCGCGGCCGGGAGCGCCCCGCCGTTCTCCGCTGCGGCGCTGCGGCTGGCGCTGGGGGCTCCGGGGCTGCCCGACGGCCCGTTCGGCTGCCCCATCTGCCTCGATCTTCTGAAGGACCCGGTGACTGTGCCGTGTGGGCACAACTTCTGCCAGCGCTGTCTGGGGGCGCTCCGCCAGCGGGCGGGCCCCCCCGACGGCAGCGGCGGGGCGGGCGGGGCTGTCCGCTGCCCGCTCTGCCAGGAGCCCGTCCCCGCAGCCTTGCGGCTCCGCAAGAACCGCGCCCTCTGTGAGGTACTGCCGCTGCTGGCGGCCGCTGCAGGCGGCTCGTCCCCGCCGTCGCCAGCCGCCGGGTCCTCGATGGCACCGGGAGCCGAGGAGCAGGATGCGGCGGCGGAGGAAGGAGCGGCAGTGCTGTGCGACGTGTGCCCAGCGGGGTCGCGGGCTGCGGCGGCGCGGTCCTGCCTGGTCTGCCTGGCCTCCTTCTGTGAGGTCCACCTCGAGCCCCACCGGCGCGCCGGCGCCTTCCGCGCACATCGCCTGGTGGCCCCGCTGCGGCGGCTGGAGGAGGGGCTCTGCCCCCGCCACCTCCAGCCCCTCGACGGCTTCTGCCGCGCCGAGCAGGCCTGCGTGTGCGCTCGCTGCCGCGCCCACGATCACCGCGGCCACGAAGTGGTGCCCCTCGAGCGGGAGCGCGAGCACAAGGAGGTGCGTGCGGGGCGGGGGCGGGTGCGGGACGTCCCCCTGCTGCGGGGCGTGCGTGCGGGGCAGCTCTGGGGTGGGCTCATGCAGCACCCACGGGAAAGCTGTGGGGTGCTGACAGGGCAGGAGATGGGGACAAGCACTGGGGCAGAGCAGCTGCCAGCCAGCCCCGGGGGGCGGGAGGTGTCGCACTGCGGGGCTAAGTTTGCAGTCATGGGTGTGGGGCTGGGGGTGAGGGTGCCTGGGACACCCCACTGCAGCCACCCCCACAGTCACAGGGTGCTTGCCTTCTCCGTCTTGTTCCCACAGCCCTGTCAAGGCAGTTTTTGTTGGCGTGCTGGCCGCCTGCCCAGCTGCCGCTCCCCCAGCCCTTTGTGTCCTGGCGTTTTGGCAGCAGGATTTTTCCACCATTCCCATTCCCAGATGGGGCTGAGTCACCTAGAAAATTTGCATCCACGAGCTGGGGCTCCAAATCCAACCCAATATTGCCTTCATGGGCGGTGCTGCCTCGGGCACACAGGGCCTTTGCGGGTCACAGCCTGTGAAGTTCGCAGCATGGTGGCACCTCTGCATTGCTGTGGGGCATTTGGAGAAGGTTTGCTTTTTCCAGGGGGCTGTGGACATGCTGGCAGGGAGCACAGTGCCAGCCCCGAGCCAGCTCCCACTCCCTCATGAGCTCATGGGACTGCAGGAAAACCCTTTTACTGACATTATTAGTCATCAGGTGCCTTAAAATAGAAAGCTCCTGTGATCCCAGACCTGAGGAGCTGTCGGGCCTCAGCAAATGCTGCTTAGCATCACCTACACAGGCTGGGAAGGATGGACAGGGGAAGCACCTGTCTGGCCTCACTGGGCACAAGTGCTGCAGGGAGCTGGGGTGGGCAGTTGAGCATGGTGGCGAGCTGCTGGTTGCCCTGCAGGGTCTTGAGGGACCTGTCCTCATGCTGGCACTAACAATAGCACGGCAGGAAGCACTGCATTTGGACAGTATTTCCTTCACAGCCACACAGCACCCATGCTCCTGAGCTGGTTTGCTTTGCTCCCAATGAAAAACCTCCAGGGGAGGTTGGAGAAAAGTTGAAGAAAACTCGAGCGCTGCATTTGTGCATGCTCTGGGTCTGCCTTTCAGCTTCCACGCCAGTCTCTGGTGGATTTTTCCAGCCTTGGAATACGCACTAGGAACATGCTTCACTTGCTGCCTGATGGTTTTGCTTTCATATTCCCATTTTCTTTGGTTTCGGCTGGGACCAGGGTGTGGAGCATGGAGCTGGGCATCACCCTTTGCAGCCCAGCTGAGAAGGAGTATTTGTAGGTTGGATGTTACAGGGGAGGAAACCAGGAAAACAACTTGCACTCTTCACCTGAAGCCTAGTAGCAATATCAGTCAGAGAGGGGGCTGAGGGTTGAGTCTAGGGAGAGCTTGAGTCCCATGTACCTCCCTGCCACCGGGTTGGGGAACAGAGCTCAGTGTTTGTGCTTTGTGCCTGCAGGCCCAACAAGCCAAAGTCCTCAGCGATGCTGAGAACGAGCTGGAGGAGCTGGCAGTCACCATTGCACAGGCCAAGAAGATGGTGGAGCTCATTAAGGTGACTGCAATGGGTTTGCTCTCTTAGCACAGCTCTGCTGGGCTGGAGAGCAGCTTTTGGGGTGCATGGCATGTAGAGGTGGTGTTCACAAGGGAGCAAACAGATGGTGACCCTGGCCAGGATCCCTGAGGATTCTTGATCCTCATCTCTGCTAACCCTCACGACATTTCTGGTTGCTTTCATTTGCAACCTGGTGCAAGGACTGTGCAGCTTCTTTCCCCAGACCCATGGGGGTTTTGTTACCCTTTGCCCCTTGTGCAAACACATCATGGCCTGGGGACACAAGACATGGTGGAGCAGTCTGTGCCTATCCAGGTCCCTTGACACGTGCGCTGAGCTCTTGGGTGAAAGGTGTTACACGGTGTCAGCAGGACCCCACAGAGCTGAGAATTGGGTGCTGGGCAGGGAACAAGGGGGCTCTGCGCCCTTGCCTGTGGGAGGTGACTCCGAACCCTCTCTCCCTGTGCTCAGGGTGCTGCCATGAAGGAGAGGGAGAGAGTTGAGAAGCTCTTTGCAGAAGCCTCTGAGGTCCTGGCAGCCTTCCAGAAGGAAGTGACCAGTTTCATCGAGGAAGGGGAGCGCTCCATGCTGGGGGAAGCTGAGGCTGATCTGCGCTGGAAGGAGGAGAGACGAGCCAAGCTGGTCCAGTGCAAGCAAAACCTGGAGAATGTCCCCAGCACTGACACCATCTACTTCCTCCAGGTGCCTGGGTAGATATAGCAGAGAGAAGGAGCTGATAACCTGGTCTTTTGGGGGGTTTGTCCCATCTCACGTGGACCCAGATGCCAGGAGCCCTGGGATGTGAGAGCTACAGAGTCTCACTCCTGTTGACACAGTCCTATCACCCCCTCTTTGCTCTTGGGGGGGGCCAGGCAGCCAAGACCCTCTTCCATCGCCCCCATCTCCGTCCTGGCTGTGACTCAGGAGCAGCTGGTGTGCTGCCCAGGCTGGGGGCACAAGGCTGGGGCAGAGAGCAAGAGGTTGGGGTGTCCCACTGCTCCCGTCCAGCATCCTCCCCTCCCTGGCAGTCCAGCAAGAGGAGACTGGTTTGTGGGGGAGTGTTGCTCTGTGCGAGCTGGGCATGGGTCTGGGTTTGAGAGGGAGTGAAGAGAAGGCGCCAGGAATGTGTGGCTGGGAAAGTACTCTCCTCCCTTTCATAAGGCTGTCCTTGTGCCAGGTCCTGAGAGCTGCCAGTTCCCAAATCCTCTGGGGTAGGGTGGGGTTGTGGAACAAGAGACAACTTTGGTTTGCTTGAAACCTCCTGAAACTTGTCCTTTCTGCTCAGGAATTTCAGGCCTTAAAAGTTGCCATGGAAGAAAACCTCTCACCAGCTCTGAGCATCCCGAACGAGCTGAACTTCACCAAATGCACCCAAGCCGTGAGTGCTGTGAAGGATGTGCTGTCTGCTACCTGCAAAAAACAGTGGGACCACTTGCAGGGGAAAGGGATTGATGAGCAGAGTTACCAGGAGATAGAGGAAGGTTTGTGTTCATCCAGCCCTCTGCCCGGAGGTCACCCCAGCATGTTCTGTCCTCCCCGCATCGGTGGGAGGTGCCTGCAGACACCATGCACCCCCGTGAGCACTGGCCCCTGTCCCTCCAGCCCTGGAAGCTGCAGGGCACGGTTGCGCTGTGTTGCGCAGTTCCTGTCTGGGCTTATTCCTTGTCTTTGAGGTTTTATGATTTTTTCCACAGAGACTGGAGAGGCAACAAACAGCCTGGGAGTTAGGGAGGGCCCTGTGGGAGGGGGCAAGTGGCCAAAGAGGCCTCCCATGGAAGGGGACTCTCTTCACAGGACAGATGATTCTCTTCATGGGGGAGGCCATGGTCTCCCAAACCTACCAGGGTTAAAAAGATGAATGGTAGCTTTCTCCTGCACTCTCATTTAGCCTGATCTCTCTCCTCTCTCTTGTTTCTCAGATGGCCATAGGAACTGTAGCCAGTCTGTTGCTTCCCCTGCTCATTTCCCTGAGGTGGCAAAGATGGCATCTGTCCTTGCCTGTACCTGAGCCAGCAGGGATATGCAGGGGGAGCTATGGGTGCTGGCCTGGGCTCGCGGCCCACAGCAGCTGGGTACCATCAGGGTATCAGGCAGGCGGTGATGCCCCAGGGACACCCTTGCTTGTGGCATCGGTTTCTTTGCTAATGACAAACCCTTCTGTCCCTGTCTCTGCAGTGTTGGCTGTGTCCAGATTACCAGAGAAGTTGAACAGGCCTGCCTGCCAGGAGAGCCGTGATTACTTCCTGAAATGTAAGCAAGGGACTTTTGCTTTGACAGTTGTTACTAAGGTCCATCTTCCCTCTCCTTTCTCCCAGCCAGCAAGCTCCTTCCCTCCCACATGCCTGGTGCTGGCAGGAGCGCTGCCACCACTGGGGGGAATACTGCTCAGCTGACAAGGAAGCTTCCTTGCTTTCCTGACAACAGTCATAATCTGTTTAGGTGATGTTTTCCCCCTTTGCCCATAGTTCTGATGGACCAGCTGACAAGGGGCTGTAGGTGCACTGTGTAATTTCTGCTGCTTTCCAATCCTCGACAAATTGGATCCTCCATTAAATTAAATTAAATCAGAGTTTGTGCATTTGCCCTGTGCACTCTGATGAGGGTCAGCTTCAGCAGCAGCAAGCAGAGGGGTAATTCTGTGGCCACACAGGGACAGTGGAGCAGAAGGGGCTGAGGCTGGAGAGTGCAGGGCTGGGCTTGGGCTTCAACACCCTGTGCATCCCCCCCCAGCTTTTACAGGGAAAATGGGGTCATCTACTGAGACAGGGAGCTGGGCAGCAAGGCCTGGGCTCAAGCAGACTCTGCTGTGCCACTTCTATAGGCTTTGGATGTGCCATGGTTCAGGCCTGCAATACAGCTGGCAGCAATACGTGTCCAGAGCTGTTCCCGCTGGATATCCCCTCTGCCTGGGATCCAGTGGCAGTTCTCATGTGGCTCTGCATGTTGGGGGCTGTCTGTGCTCCAACAGGAGCCATAGGGCAGCGAGAGCCATCTGCAAGGAGCAGCTGTTTTGTGGTTGTTATGTGATTGGCTTTCCCCTGTCTTCTTGGGGTCCCACCTTGTGTTTGTCTGTGGTTGCCAGAAATCTGTTTTTGTATGGGATGTTAGTGCTGCCACTCTTGTCAGGTAGATCCTCCAGTGCCCAGTATCATGGTTGAACTCATTGAGTAGCTTCCCTGCTTTCTCCTCTGCCTGGTTACCTGTATTCATGCTGCTTATAGGGGTATCAACTGTTCCAGACCCTCATCCTCAAAGGCTGAAATTGGCCAAGGGAACAGAGTGATGGTAGAAGTCAGAAAGGATTGTGCTAATGACTGAAGGCTGAAGCAGGGGATCAGAGTGGGACGGGAGGGGGGTATTTCCTCCTCTTTCCCTCCTCATCCTCATGTCTTTTTTTTTTGACCCACACAGTTGCCTTCATCATTGACCTGGACAGTGACACAGCTGACAAGTTTATCCATCTGTTTGGCACCAAAGGGGCCAAGCGGGTGCTGTGCCCCATCCCTTACCCGGAAAGCCCGACCCGATTCATCAACTGTGAGCAGGTGCTGGGTTTGAATCTCATGAATCGGGGCAACTACTACTGGGAGGTGGAGCTCATCGATGGCTGGGTCAGCATTGGTGTCATTGCTGAGGACTTTGACCCCCGTGAGTCCTACACCCGTGGCCGCCTGGGGCGAAATGAGAAGTCCTGCTGCCTACAGTGGAACGGACAGAATTATGTGGTCTGGTTTGGGGGCTTTGAGTCCGTCATTCAGCAGCCATTTTTCCAGACAATTGGGGTCTTCCTGGAGTATTCAGAGAAGGCCCTCACCTTCTATGGAGTCAAGGACTCCAAGATGACCTGCCTGCAGCAGCTCAAGGTCTCCCCTTTTGCCAAGGGTATATTTGACCCATTCCAGAACAAGATCAATCACCAATTTGCCTCTCTTTTCTTGTGCAAGCTGAAGCCAGCCTTCTTCCTGGAGAGCGTCGATGCCCACCTGCAGATTGGGCCACTGAAGAAAGACTGTGTTTCAGTGCTAAAGCGTAGGTAACTGCTCAGAGAGTGGGAGCATGGGAGGACTCAGAAAAGTCTCTCTTGCATTGTATTGCCACCATCACGGCTTCTCTTTGGTAGTGTTGTATATCTCTGTCACAGCCATCCTTGTTCTGTGCTGCCTGTGTCCCAGGATGCATGCAGCTATCTGGTGGGCAGAGCCATGGGCTAGGAGCCAGGGGGGAGCTAGATCCAAGTGCCAGCTGTGCCCCTGGGCTGCTGAGCAAACTTGGACGAGTCTCTGCTACTCCCTGCCCCTCAGTTTCCCTTTCAGGGACTGCGATACAGCCTTTCTTAGTAAAGTGCATTGCTTAGGGGAAGTGCCACATCGGTTTGAAGCTGTGTGTTGTCCAGCTTCCAGGCTGTCCAGTCCCTCTCCTTTAATATCTGCTAACACTGCTCTGATGACTTGTATAGTTGCTCCGTACTGTGCCTTACTTTGGTCACTGTGTTGCTGCTGGTTTTTTGAAGGACTGGCTCATCAACACCTTCCACATGTTCCTTATAAAGTGCCTTTGAAGTAGCAAGCCCTGCATGGACCGGGCGAGCCCCCAGAGCAGATGCAGTCACTCCCCTGGTGCCTGCATCACTGTTGTGCCTTGGTGTGGGTGACCAGGGTGCTCCTGGCGGGTGGGATGCAGAGGAGGATGGCTGGGACTACGCTGCAGTGATGCAGTACCTCTCCTTGCAGGGCTGGGCACCCATTAGTGCTGCAGACATGAAACTAGGATCTTTGCCTTCCCTCACACCAGAGCCAGGGGGTACTTTGGTCTATAGCCAGGTTAATTTGGGAAAAGCTGTGGGCCTGCATGTATTGGAGCCCCATGGCTGTGGGGCTGTTCCCCACAGCAGCCAAAAATCCCAGCTGGGAATTGGGAGAAACATTTTGCCAAGGAGCAGCAGCACTGTTGCTTGCCTTGAGATGGTGAAGTGAGCAGCATGGAACACTTTTGAGGATGTGCTTTTAGTAAACATGTTCCTTGGGAACTGCTTACCAAAGCTTCACAGCCTAATTTTCCCCCAACATTTCTGATAACACTACTATTTTAAGGGATTTTTACACTGTTTAACCCCCAACTCTTAAAGTACCCTGGGCATTTTTTTACAGCTGCATTTACTTGAGCTGTAAATGCACCTCTTAGCTTAGGGAGTTTTTTAAGTGGCAAAGAGGTCCTCTATGGCCTGTTCTAGGAATGGCTGTGAGCACATGGATTAAAGATACAGCATCAATCAGTTATTAAATGATACTTTAGACTCTGGTAATAAGTAACAATTAACAAAAACTACTCTCAAGCAAGTTTCCTCTCTGGGAAGGGTGGAAACTCAAGGCTGAGAGCCAAAAATGCCAGTTCACATGTCCTGAGGTAGCTTTTGCAGACGGAAAATACAGAAATACTGCCTCTGAGGGCAGCACACTGCAGCCCCTGTCTCAGCACAGTGCGCCCTTCCACAAGCTTATCTTTTCTAGGATTAGTTTGCTACCTACCTCCTTGCTTTACAGAATCATACTGCTGTTTAATAGGCACCTAGAGAGAGAATATTTTGGGTCAGGTTCTTTGATGGTATGAGTGGGTTGGTGATGGCACATCAATGGTCAAAAGGGATAAAAAATGGCCCATTTAGCTAAATATATGAAATATATATATATTCTGTAAAAGATAAGCTGGAAATCGTAGTAGTGTATTCAAGAAGAGCCAAGGGAAAAAAGTGAACACGAATAAAAAGGCAACCACAAAGCTGAGAGGTTTAAAATTAAAGCCATGTAGATAAACACTAAGGCTTAAAGAGCTGCTTAATTGTAACTTGTTTGCCAGTGCTGCCAATTCCTGTTGGCACAGGAAGAGGTGCTGGTTGCCTGCATATGGCCACTGCTGTGGGCTCTTCTTCTGGGGACCGAAGGGTCTAAATGCAGCTGCCCCCGACTTGGGGCAGGGCAGGTGAGCTGGTCTGGGAGGGGGGCTGCTGGGATATGTCTGCAAATCCCTCCTCTTTGTTCTCCGCATGTGGCATCTCCTAAAATGCTGCAGATGGTGAGAAAAGGAGAGGAAGGGCTTCCAGAGTGTGATCTTGGCCTTTCTTGGTCAGTGGGAATGCTGCCCAGGCTTCTGTCCCGATGGGAATTCACTCTGTGTGTCCTGAGCTCCTACCTCAAAACCGCTTTGTTTGGCTTATGCCAGGCACTCTCCTGCAAATCTCAGCCTTTGCATGAGATGTCAGCAGTGATACTGTGCAGGTGGCACTGCTGTTATTGGCAATACTGGAGAGGACTTGGTATCAGAAATGCCTTACCAGGTAAGAAGGGTGGAGGCATGCAACTCCCAAGAGGAGGAAGAAGAAGGTAATCTTGATCTCTGCTGCATGTCTGCAGGAAGAGATTTCGCATGGAGGCTAACATCTAGACCCTAAATCTTCTTCATTCAGGCAAAACTCCCACCATTTGCAGAGAGGAGTTTTGCCAGAGTAAATACAGCAGTTCTGGGCCTTTGCCCCGTTTCGTTTTGCCTTAGGCAGATTGACAGCTCTGTGGGGAAATCCATGCATAAGTCACGCATCCCTCCCTTCTCTGTGTTGCCCAATGCACAGACACGAGTCTCTGAACTCCTTCAGGGTATGGGATGGTTTGGAGGGATCCCATGTCTTTTCCTTTCCACCCTGTAACCACATGGGAGCAGGTCAGGAGGACACATTTGGTGTTTGGGCTTTGCTTCTGATTGTGATGCTGCTTTTACTTAATTCACCTCTGCCCCAAGAGCTGGGATGCTGATATGCAGCTTGGGGAGGGGGCTCTGAGTGCTCCTGCAGATAGAGTGCAGTTGGGAAGTGCTACCCAACCGTCTCCTTCCTGCTGCTTGCTTTTACCCTGGTTGGAAGCACTGTAAATCCTCGTGGTTTAACACATAAAGCAAATCCTGCCTGATGTAAGACAGGGGCAACACCCCAGGGTGTTGGACCAGAGTTTGCTGTGTTGCCTATAATATGGGGTGTAAACTGGAATGATTAGGAAATGTAAGCTATCCCAGCTCTGGGTCCATGATTTTGCTGCAAACAAAGGGCTAAATGTGGTGTATGATTACTTCAGATGATATGATAACACTTGGCAATTGAAACAGTCTTTCCGTGTTCCCTTGAGTTATTTCTGCTGTCACAGAGTGTTCCTCTTTTACTTAGGATTTTTCAAATACTGTATTTTACAGTGTGTGAAAGAACTGTAACAGAATAATGTAATGATGTTAGAGACTATGATTTGCCATTAAATATTATACAGACATCTCTCTGGGTTGTCTTTCCTGTAAATACCAAACCATTAGAGTTGTCCCATTATCTTGCGTTTATTTTGCCGTGTCCTGTACATCTGGCATAAAATAATACAGATTTTATTTTCCAACTGTGTCTAAGGGAATTGTGCCAAATACATGCTTTTATTGCTTGACTGTAAAAGGAGCAGAATAATCTTAAAATCCAGTAACAGTATTGTCATTCCTGGGCAATTAAAACCAGTGAATTTTCTCAGTTCTCTCTCCTGTCTTGGTCCTCAGACTAGAAAGAATAAAGATGAATAGATTAGGCACTTTTCTCTCAGTGTTTTCGGTTTTTAGAGTATAAATTCCCAAGGTTTTCTATGTGATGAGGAGGTCTGTATCTTCCCATGTATACTGGCATTTATACCAGCACCTTTTCTAAATGAAGGTTGTGTTTCTTAATACCAGTGTTGGTTGGAGTGAGGAGAGAAACATTATTCAGGGAGTCTTGGCTCATAGGAGGTGGCAATGCTTCGCAGCTGGGTGCTTCAGTGGAAGCTGAGCCAATGTCTGTTGCTGACTTTAATAGGAGAGGAATCAGAACATTTGTTATAACCATTTCTTAAAAGGGAAACTGGCAGCTTATTGAAAACGTGGATATGAAAAGCAGAAGTGTGCTCTTTTCTGCCAAGAACCATACAGATTATGTCACTGCATTTATTTAAACCTGGTTTCCATTATATAGTTTTTCTCCTGTTGCTTGCACACCCCATCTGGTTCTCAGGCACTCAAACAGGGCTGAGCTGCAAACCCTGCAGGGAAAAGCTCAAATCTATGTAAGAAGGTAAAATTTAAGGTAATATATGCTCTTAATAAATATTTGTGTATTACTGATATACAGTTGACAGTTATTGCTATGAGAAGTCCTTCAAAACTGTTGATTGGTTTTGTAGGGCTCCTATTTTTAATGAAATCATGCAAACATTAATTTTTTAAGAGCTTCTCCTGCTTGTGCACCTGGAGGCAGGCGATTAGACCCTCACTGTAATTCTGCAAACAAATTTTCACAGGGATTTTCCTGCTCCCAGATTCCCTCCAGACAGACAGACACGCTCCTGACTTGTTCACAGGGCAACTAGTTGGCCCTTCCAGTTCAACACTTTCCAATATAAAGGGGTAATTTTAGGATGCGATTGATTCCAGCATGGAAAGCAGCCAACATTGGTCTCAAAAATATGTTTGCAAGTGTGTGAAACATGAATTGTGGGTCGAAAGTGAATTAAAAAATGGTTGAAAATGGAGCAAACATCTTTGCTGTTTAAGGGGCTAAGCTTCATTTTATGTGCAGTACCACCAAGTATGTGGGATGATTTTTATTCTACTCTACCAAACGTCTGGATTCCGCCCAGCCAAGCTCTGGAAGTCCATTTTTTTTTGTCTCTATTTAACTTAATCTGGGGCTTTTCCCCGGGGAGATGCTGCCAGTGTTAAAATCAGTTGTGGTTGCATGAGATGTGTGAACAGCTCCCTCCTACAAACAAAACTGGTGTGAAATACAAATTCACTCCTCTAAACAAGATAACAAGGTTTTATTGAGGGACAAAGTCAGCAAAGCAAAAACAACAGCGCTGGGGGCATGACCGTAGCCAGAGGCGCCAGTGATTAGCGTTAGTTACAGGTTTATATACTTTCACTATTACATTAGTTACACACATAGTCATAATTCCCGCATATAGGCGGGGGGATATTATAACTAGCTCCAAGAATTTATTATCATAAGTCTCCTCCTCTTGGCGTCTGCGCACTGCTCTGCGGTGATTGTGGGCAGGGGTCTCCAGGATGAAGTAAGCAGTCTTCCTCTTGTGAGTAGGGGTCTTCAGGATGAAGTAAGCAGTCTTCCTCACAGTGCACTTTTCACCTTTGGCACAGTTGGACGCCTCAGTAATCACACAACCAGCAATATCTGCAATTATTCTGATAACTAGCAAAGATTTAAAACAGTGTGTCCTTCCTGCAAAATGTACTGCAGGATGGGCAGACAAGGAGTACCCCAAGCTAGCAGATGTCTGGGAGGCTCTGTCTCTAAATTAACTGATAAGTAGGATGGTGTGAAATAACTCATTCATGTTTAGTGGGGCCACTAAATCCTGTTATCTCACCACAGACTTACAACATGAACATTGTTCTCTTTCTACAACCTAAGTTAAGCTAAAAAGTACTTTATGTTTTCCAGGATTCCTTTGCTATGTGACTCCATTTTGATCAAGAATCTGAACCGTTTTAACTTGTTGTCTAGTCTTGTGTCTTTAGCGAGTTTTGTTTCTGTTATTGTAAATACGTACAGTTATAGCCACATAACCACACCTATGATTTGCGAAAGCCAATGCATTTATGTGTTTATCACACTGGACAGCCTCCTAGGGAAAAGGTTTTATTTATTCTCTGGTGAGCTGGCCAGGAAATGTATTCAGGATAAAAAATGAGGTGCAAACAGCAGCAAAGGACAGCGGTTTAAAACATAATGTCGGTGTGATCACTGCCTCGATGCTCTGCGAACTCCCACCGGCAAAGCGCTGCCGTGCCAGAGCGCCTGGATGGCAGAAATCCCGGGAAAACTGCGAGCTTCCAAGTTCAGGCGAGTTCCAAGTAACGGAAATCACTTTGTTATATATGGTCAGGAGGACACATACTCGATGATTAATGGGATTTATAAATATGTTAGAGAGCTCTTCCAAAAGGGAGACTGGCTCTTCGGATCACCCCTCCTCTTCTGTATTAGAAAACCGAGGTAGTTTAAAACCTAAAACGGACTGCGCTCGGTAAATTTTGGTCATAAATCGCGGCGGGAGCAGGCACCGAAGGCTCCGTGAGCCCTTGGGGGTGGCCACGCTGCCGAGGGAGGCGCTCCCCTTGCTGCGCCGGGCTCGGGGCCGAGAGCGGGCGCTGATGGGGCAGCAGCGGAGCAAACGCGCGCTCCGCCATGGCGGCCTCTGGCCGCTGCCGGACTACAGTTCCCAGCATGTATCGCGCGGCCTGGCCCGGCCGGCCCTCCCGCCGCGTTCGGCGCCGGTGCAGAGCGAGCTGGGAGCCGGGGAGGGAGGAAGAGGAGGAGGACATGGCGCTGAACAGGAACCACTCGGAGGGCGGTGGCGTCATCGTTAACAACAGCGAGAAGTGAGGTGCCATCCCCTGCTCCCCGCCTCCGGCCGGGGGATAGCAGGGTGCTGCTTGCTGTCTTCAGGGGGCGCGGTTGTGTGGGGAGAGGAGAGGAAGGGGGGGATATAAGGAAGGGGTTAGTTTAACCCCCTCGGTGCCGGCGTGAGTCGTCCGTCCTTCTCCCTGCGAGGGAGGGGCTGTACGTATCCCCCTGCCCCTGCGACTCTCCGGGGGAGACTGTGCTGGCCCTCTGTCGTGGGCTTTTCTCTCTTACACTGCTCCCTTCTGCGGCCTGCCTGCTGCTCCTGCCTCCTCCTGCTATTGTCCCAGCCTCTCTCCGCGTTCTCGGACAGAGCTGGCAGAGCTCATCCCCCCAGCCCGGTGATTCTGGCCAGGGCCCAGTCTTCTGTCTCTCGGCGCAGTGTGCCGCTGTTCAAGAGCTGCCCGCTTGGGAAGCGCAGCGCTGCCTGCCCGGCTGATTCTTCTGGTTTCTTTGCACACACGCCCCCTCCGTGTGTGCAGGAAGGAGCAGCAGTGTTGAGAAAAGGCACTAGGATATAACCATGGAAACAGCCTCCACAGAGCTGCCTTTATCTGCCTGGCTGGCCTCACCGTTTGTGTCTGCCGGAGTGCTCTGGTTCTGACGTGGCACTCACCTGCTTCTTAGGCAGAGGAGTACTTTAGTTTTCACGGTGACTTTCCATAGGGCCACTTAAACATTGGTACAGGAATTCGGGATGTGACCGTTCCTCGAAGAATTTAGTAAGATCAACTTTGGGGCTTAAATTTGTATTCACTAAAACAAACAACTGTGTATTACTGTTCCTAGTTGTCAGCCTGCCTTAGATCAGGGTTACCTCTCGTGTGACAGCCTATGCTGCTTGTGGTGGTTGATTCAGGTGATGTGCTGTAGCCCAAACAATGCTGCTGGCCCCTGTGCCTTTCCAGAGCTTTTTCTGGAGGGACAGCTACTGGCTGGCAGAAGGAAAGGGCAGGTGACTGAGGATGGTAGCACCTAAGCTGCCAAAGGTGAAGGTGGTGGAGGTTTCTCTGGTTTTAGGGATTAGAGTCCCTAATGTGGATGCTGTTATGTTAATACAAGTTACCAGCTGTATCTGTGCAAGGGTATTGCAGTGGTTTTAATAAGATCAGTTTTGAATTGAGAATGAAGGAGTCAGTGCAGACGGCATGGGTTAATAAAGGCTAGTGGCATAAAGGTGGACTTCCTCTCCATCCTGTGACAGATGCTTAAGCTGTGGTTAGACCTTTTGACAGCTGTGTTGCGCAAGCCATCCCAAGGAGCTCCTGCTTCAGCAGTCCTTCCTCTGTTGTGTTACTTGTGGTGAACCAAATTAGAGAACTGATCCAGCAGAAATGCAGTGCAACTTAAAATTATATATATGTCTTGAGATTTTGATCAGTTCGTTTGGTTGGGTTCACTGCCCGGCTATGCAGACAATGGTAGCTGTGCCAGCACACTGAGGAGGGAGCACAAGGCTTGAGAACAAGCAGCAAGTACTGCATAAGTTGCTACTGCCAAAAAAAAACAAAACAAAACCACAAGAAAGAAAATGCAAGCCAGAGTGATTTCTGATTTTTGTCTGCTGAGCGCTAGGCTGAGGTTAAAGGCAGTTTTGGTAGGTCAGTAAACCTACAGGTGTGTTGTACTTCTGACTTGAGCTGTAACACTGTAACACTGTCTCGCTTCTCTTATCTTGTTTGCAGTGTTTTGATGACCTATGATCATGTAGAAATTACCTTCAGTGATATCGAACCTATGCCAGATGCATTCAAAGGGACCAAGAAAGGGAGTGTTTTCTTGACGCCCTACCGAGTAAGTAGTAAAAGACTTTGTCTTGCGTAAGGAAACAGGGGCTCTTTGCAATTCTGTATTTAAATGTCCTCAGTGCATGAAAGTCAGGACAGTCTACTACCCCTTGAATTATGGCTCGTCCTCTCCCCCTGGGGAGCATTATGAATTCATTGTACAGCCTATCTATTTGTCAAAAGGTAATAAATCTGGTTAGATAATAATGATCAATAATCTGCCCTTATAAAGGCAGCTGTTTAGTCCATCAGGTGTCTTTGAGATTGGAAATTAGCAGTGGTCTGGAAATGCTGAGTGCAGCAGCACAGCTACTAGATCATAGCTGTGTGCAGCAGCAAGTTCTCTGAAAGCTGGGAAGAGTATTATCTAAGGAAGTGTAGCTTTCCTGGAGTGCTTTTTGCCTGGAGGCTGCAGTTCACCCTTGTGACTGTTCGGTGTAGCTTTTGGTTTGCACAACTACAGATGTAGGAGGGAGCTTCAGTCCAGCAAAAAGTCACTTCACATAATGAATCAGGCCTATGTTTCCTGTTTGTTTTAAATACCCTTTGTAATGTTTTCTTTTTAGGTTATTTTTGTGTCGAAGGGAAAGGATGCTATGCAGTCTTTTATGATGCCCTTTTATTTGCTGAAAGATTGTGAAATTAAGCAGCCTGTCTTTGGAGCAAATTATATCAAGGGCACAGTGAAAGCAGAGGCAGGAGGTATGTACAACACAGATGTAAGTTATGTTTAGTTCAGCTGCACAGTCCATGACAAAGTATCAGTGTAACTGAAGCTGGATACTGGCCAAATAGGTTTTTACAGTGCTACTAGAATGTGTCTTGTCTTTGAAATTAGCAGCCAAAAATATTCCCCTTGTCTGCTCCCTGTACAATTACAGTGACCAGATGTGTTCTGCAACTGATCTCACTCCTGTCCTCTGTGCAAAATACTGACTTTAGTCAGCCAGGTGATCTCACTGAATAAACATCAGAGCAGAGTCAGCAGGAGTGAGGATGTCATTCCGCATTGCTCAGTCAAGTTACCTGGTAATTCTGAATCCAGGTCCCCTTGTGCCCTTGTCCCTTTGTGTTTGGGTTTTCAGGAGCACTGTTCCCCATCATCAGTTTTTTGTGCAATTTAGGAAAAGGCACGCAATCGCTATAGGGTATCTTAGCAGTAAAATGATACTTGGAAGAGAATGGACTCTCTTGAAACCAAGGAATCTTCCAGGGGTGGTTTCATAGTATGTTCAATGAGAAGTTTGTGGTAGATGTTTTCAACAAGATTTTTTTTAATCACTGCTTTATGCTCCCCCTTTTACCAAAGACACACAGTGCAGTAAATTCTTTTTATCTCCAGCTTGATTTAGTCTATAGTTGAGCACTGAAATCGGAGTTCTTAGGAGCCTTCAGTCTGTAATCCTGAAATCAGCATTGTAGCTTCTGTAGAGGAGCAAAGTGGGACCATACAGCATGAGGGGAAGCCTGAGCAGTAATGACAAACTCTGCAAGCTGTGTGAAAGGCAAATGGCTTTAGCTAAACCTTTGTGAATTTTCCCAGAAGGCTGTCTTTTTTTAATGAGGATGTTGCTTTAACAGCCATAAGAGTCTGGTTTACTTCAAAAGGCTCTTTAATCTACATGTCCCTGCTTCAGCCCTGACACAGCTTCTGCTTTCATGCTTTGTTGGGACTCTGGGCTGTGCTTGATTTTCTTTTTTAGTCTGTAATATGAGATGTTATTACTTATTTTTTATTGTTATTATTATCCTGACTTGAAATTGAGGACTCTAATGGATTTATGTGGAGCATGTTTTTCATTAATCTGTTTTCTGCATTGGGCACTCAAAGACCCAAACTAATTTATAGCTGACAGTTAGGTGTAGTTGCAAAGGCTTTTAGCAAACAGGATTAAGAAAATCCCTGTCTTCTGCACTAATCTTCTACAAAGCTAGAGCAAATCCAGCACTCCTGATAGCTTTGTCTGTTGACAGCTGGTGTGGTAACAGCCACAACTTTAGAAAGCTTCTGAAGATCTCCCTCCTTGATGTGTCTTCTTCAGGTGTCTCTTGACCTGAAAATACCCCAGTGTGGTATTAGGGTAATTCTACCATTTTATCTGCATCTTTTCCTTCAATTTTTGGATAAACTCTTTAAAGAATTGCATACAGGGCATCTGTAGGTAAAGCTTAGAAGCTAAATAGCATCAAAATGGCTTCTTGCTTCTGAATTCTGTCTTTCTTCCCTGCAGGTGGCTGGGAAGGATCTGCTACGTTCAAGATGACTTTCTCAGCTGGAGGTGCAATTGAGTTTGGCCAGCGGATGCTGCAGGTGGCATCACAAGGTACAGGAGCCTGGCAGTATTGCCAGAGAGTTCAGTGGTTTCAGGAGGCCTTGCCTTCATTCTATAGCAAGGGTGATTTCGGGTTGGATTCAAATTGATGCAGTTTTCAAGATGTATCTGGAACCTGCTTGCTTTAAAAAATAATTACATAATAGATTAAAATACCTTTTTTTTTTTTTTTAACAATGAGCAGCGGAGTTATTGGGATGGCGCTTGTTTTTCAGATAGGGACTCTAATTTTCTTGGAGTTCTTGGCCTGTGTTTGTTGCAGGCTTGATGTTTTGATGAGGTCAGCTTATCTTTACTTTTCCAGTCTCCAGAGGTGAAATACCCAATGGAGCTTATGGCTATTCCTGTATGCCGAATGGATCCTACGCTTTTGCACCAGCTGCAGCTAATGGGGGCTATCCATACCCCCCACCTCCTCCTGGTAAGTCTGGGAACTGAAGATAGGGATTATTCTAGTTAGCAAGATTTAAAATAGGTAAAAAAGAGAAGAAACACTGATTTTACATAATCAAATTGGATTTGCTTTTGTTTGATCTGATGCTTTGTGCCACTTTTGTTTCTGAGCTTAACTGTATTTTCCTCTGACTTGTTTTGGCTGTGTGCTGTGAGCTTCCCAAAGGAGTGAAGTGTTTGCTGTGTTACTTCTTTCCTGACAGAGTTTTATCCTGGCCCTCCTGTGGTGGATGGAGACATGGGTTACATGCAGTTTCCACCTCCGCCATACCCGGGGCCCATGGAACCTCCTGTGAGTGGACCAGACCTGCCCACCACTCCCGCAGGTAAGAAGCGTGTTCAGGTGAATTAGCTCACAACATTCTGTTACCCATGAAGTAGATGTTCTTCCTTGTCTGTTATCTCTTGGGGAACATAGAATGTAGAATCTGCACTTAGAAGTTAAAAATATTTCGGAGAGGGATTAAGGAGCTCCCCTAATCTCCAGCTCAGTCTGGAGACTAGACTGATTCTCTCCAGGGTAGATGCCATTAGCAGATATTTTGCAGCTGTTTTTTTCTTGTTGAAACAGAAAAAAAATCAGTTTATGATTATCCTGCTGTGGTTATCTTGCTGATGAAACATGTTTGTAGTCCATTTTAGTTAGCAAAGGGGCTTTGGTGATACTCTGCCTTCTCCCATTTCACTCTATTACTTCTGTTTAAACAATATGGAACAGCAGAATAGATGGTGGAGAGAAGCTGGGGAAATATCAGTCTCATTTTCACTCTTTGTAGTTTATCAGAATGACTTCAAGTGTGGTCTTAAAAGGTTTGTGGGGGAGGGGGGAAGAGAGCTTTTTGTGGTTGGACACAGTCATAGATCTCTTACAGGTAATGGTATTTGTCTCTCTTCGGTTTGAGTAAACAACCAATCACCTGTGAACTATTATTTGGGAAGTGGCACTGATAAAGATGGTTGTACCGGTTTTCTGTATTCTGCAGAAATAGACTACCTGGATTACCTTCATAAATCACCTTTAAAAATGAGTCCCTGAGCTGCTATAAACTGCTGATTTTTGTTTTCTCTTGTGTTTTTACTTCCAAGAAGGAGGTTTATTAACTGCCTTTTTAAGAGGTATTGTCTGTATTCAGGCAAAACTGCTGTTAGCATTTATTTGTTGACTACAAGGCTACTCCCAGGTGACATTTCCAAATGAAATCTTGGTCTGCTTCATTTTGCACTTGAAAATCCTGTGGCAACTGGAAGAGATAATGCTCAGTCATTGTGTTTGTTGTAGCTATTTTGCAGCTCAAGTGTTGGTCAAATAATGCTTTGTTAGTAACACTTGCTGGCGAGGAATATGTGGAGGGTTTTTTTCAGTGTAGAAGTTCTGTTTGTGTCACTAAATCTGTAACTTCTCTTTCTGTGACAGCTGAAGCGAAGGCTGCAGAAGCCGCTGCCAGTGCTTACTACAGCCCAGTCAACCCACATAATGCCTGCATGCCTCCGGTGAGTTCCTGTGTCATCCTGGGTTTGCAGTGTGAGGTAAATGTGTGCTTAGCTGTTCTTTTTCTCAGTGACACAGCAAAGTTTGTCTGAATTAATTTTTCAGTGTTTTGGGTTGTTTGTTTTTTTTTGCAGGGTGGTTGGGGTTGCTTTTGTTTCTCTTAGTCATGAATTGGTGTTCTTTTATTGTCTTTATTTCAGGACCAGCCACCCCCTCCTCCGTACTATCCACCAGAGGACAAGAAAAACCAATAAGCTAACACAGAACTTCTCCGAAACTCATTGCTTTCATTTTGGCAGAATCTTGGGGCATAGTCCTTAGCACTGAGGAGCCTCCACCAAGGCACTTAATTTTCATGGACTTTAGTGGTAGATACATGCAGAGGAAGGGGAGAGATTTCGGCAGCCTGGGTTCTCTTGTAGAGCTCTGAGGGTTTGCTGTTCTACTGCAGTATTCCCTTCTCCCTGTGCACCGCATCACTAGAACTGGAGGTTCTTTTTATCTGTTTCCCTTATGTCTGTTTCTTTTTATTCTTAAATTATACCTCTTTAGAGTGAGCAGCTGCTCCAAACTGACAAAGTGCCCATAACATGGAAATGAAGTTTGGGGGTGGGGGTGTCTTGAATTTACCTTAGTATGCAGCCAAGAGCATATGTGGACATTCCTCTCAAGAGTATCATATCCATCTTTCCCCTCTACTACTGAGAATGGGTTTCAAACGGAACCTTTGGCATCTCAAAGGAAATGGACACCTATTGCATTTTTCAGATAACTATTAAACTTCCTTGGGTTCTTTACAATTGTAGCAGATAATCTGGTAGCCCTCTAAATTCCTGTGCTGTGCACTGTGTGTGATGATGCTGACAAGCTTCCATTCTTACGAAACATAATACTCCTTAGGGGGTTGTTGAGTAGCTAACTAGTTATAGATCATATGGGAACACTAATTTTCTCATGTCTTTATTTATCCATTTAGATTTGTGGGCTTGAGATCAAGTCCTGAATATTCTCTTTTTCTTTTATGTAATACACGTTACACGTTTTGGCCAGTGAAGTACCTTACAGCTGTGATTTAACTGGTGAATTAATACCTAATGGGGAGAAAATAGTTTCTTCTGCCTTGGAAGGTCTTGAGAGAATACACAGAACACTGGGACAAGCTATTGGGTAGAGCCGAGCTGCTTTTTTGAATGCTCTTTAGTGCTGTTAGTGTTCCTGCATCAGCTTTGAAAATTCTGTCTGGAAACTTGAAAATGGGCTCATTAGACTGAGGGTTCAGGCCTTTCCTTTCTGTAGCATTGATTCTTCAGTCGCATTAGCAACGACTCCAGTGTGCAGAACCTCTGCAAGACTGATCAGAATCCAGGTTGTGAAACTTTGCATTATGCAAAGCTTTGCACAAACCAGACTTCACTGTCTTCTGACAGCTAAGAGAGAAAATCCTTCCCAGCAAGTGTGAAGAAAGACTGTGCGCTAAGGGAGCTGCTGAGACCTGCTGCATGCAACCTGCTTGGAGAGAAAAAAAGGTCCACCCCTCATTTTGTTTGAGTCTAGCTGATTAATCAAATTGCTACTATCTGTACACTGACTTTTCTAGAATTGCTATTGCAGTGATGTAAAGAAATGGTTATTTAAAAAAAAAAATAATTATTTTGAAAATGTTCGATTAATATATTGTGAAATGAGTCTTGAATGCAGATTTGTTTTGCTGAGACTGAACTAAAGAGAAATCTGCTCAAAACTTAATGTGTTTGTGCACTTTCATGTGAATGGGCAAACTTAATGGTGATTTAGTAGCTTTGGATGGAGAGAGGGAGAATTAAACAGCAAAATTGGATTTTGTTCTTGGCTACTCATTGCTGACATTAGTCACTTGGTTTCTCTTGACTGACTTTGTGAAATGAAAAATAAGATGTTAAAGTCTTTTATCAAACACCATTTTGCTACTCCTGTTGTAAACTGGTAAGGCAACAGCTTAACACTTTACGCAGACGGTTGCAACCTGATAGAAATAGTTAAGGGATGCAGTGTAGTTACTGCCTCTAAAGTGTTTTTCTAATTAGAAGCCATCAGTAATTTATCTTTCTTATTGTTTGTTTTAAGTGTGCTGAGGTGCCTGGATAGTTCTGCTCTGTTAGGTCTGAACACTAAGGTGCTGTGGTTCACCTGGTAGCTCTCCTCCCTGGCAAAGTGGAGCAGTTGTTCCTCAGGCACCATGAAGCTCCTCCCAGGTGCGCTGTGGCAGTGCTGCAAGAGCTGTTGCCCCGCAGAGTGAGCAGAATTAGGCCTGTCTGTATATTCTGGAGCAGGAAGTGTCCCACGTGAGGTCTAGTCTTGTGGTTCCTCCAAGATGGGGTGAGTCCCTCCAGTTTGCGCTGACATTTGTCGAACAGAAGTTCAGAAGCTGCTTTATGGGTGACAGTCAAACCTTGCCTGGCTTCGTTCCTCTTCCCAGCTGCCATTAGCAGCCTCAATTCTCTTGAACTCCCTGACCAACATTTTCCAGATACTGCTCTCCTACATGATTTTCAACTTTCATGTCCTCCTAGCATTTTAAGGCTGGTTGAGCTGTTTGGGTTTGGTTTTTGTAGCAAGAGGTGGTTGGAGAAGGAAAGCATGAAGAGATAAAATATTACAGCCCAGTAGGACCCTAATAAATCCTGGTTTGTGAATTACATGAGTTCAAATCAGGTTTCCTGAATCACATCAGTCCAACTGTAAGATGCTGCAGAAACCTCTCTGTACTCTATTCTAGTTTAAAATATCTCTCTCCCAGACAGATTTAAAACTGCCCTCCCAGACAGATGATCCTAGAAAAGAGATTGCACAAAGTTTCCAGCTCTCTCACCCAGCACCGCTCACTGTGGAACTCATACCAACAATCACCACAAACTCCAGAAGTTTCCTCTACTCTTTCCAACTCCAAACACTGCCTGTACAAAATGAAATGCCCCAAACACCATTATAAATGGCTTTATTTTATTTTGCTACCCCTCAGTGCTGCCTACCACCCAACCAGCAGTGAGGTCAGTGCATCCTAAAGGAGAGCTCAGTGCTCATGGGATCAGTCCTGTTTTTCCAAGCCTACCTGCCAGAGTTAATGCACACCGTGTATAAATACTTGCCATGAGTCACCTCCCAGAATTTTCCCCCTTGGAAGCAGTGGGACATATTCCTCCTACATGCACAGTGTGCTGGGTCTGGGTGTGAGTGGAGGCTATGCCTGCTGCTGTGCTGTGGTGGTCACTGCACACCTCCGCCCTCACCAGGGTGTTCACAGCAATGTGCTGCCGGCTCTTCTCTTAGCCCTTCCTATGGGGACACAATGGGGCATCGCTGGGCTCTTTGCACAGAGCTGAGTGTTCCTCAGGTCAAGGGAAGATGTCCCCATCTTCCTCTACATGTCCTCTGCAGCTCTAGTCCTGCAGCTACCAAAGGTGCAGCTATGGAGCCTTTGCCCCAGGCACTTGCTGCGGACAGGACCTTGGTCTCATTTACAGAGCTCTCAGCTGTGTGGTTTTCAGTTTGTACCTTTGTGCTCCAACCGCTCAACTCCTCAGTGGGGATGAGCACGGGGTGGCAAGTCCAGCATCACCCTCATGCATCCCTGGGTGCCTTTCAGCTCACTTCGGACTGGGCAGACCAGGTCTGTGTGCTTGCTCTGAAGCTCTGGGGTTTTGCCCAGGTCTTTGCCACAGTTTGGTTTTGTGCTGGGGATGTGGTTTGCCTCCTTGCCAAGCTGCATGGCTGGTTCTCAGCTCCAGTCTGGGCTTCGCCTTCTTCCATCTCGCACTATAAAAGCATCTCTCCCAGTCCCATTTGCCTGCTGGGTGCAGGATACCAGAGACTCCTCCAGCACTTCTATTGTTGGCTCTCACCGAGTTACACAAAAGCCATTATTAAGAGCGTCAAGTGCTGAAATCAGGCTGCCTCCACCCCTCCCTTCCTGTTGGCCTCCATAACCTGCACACACAGCATTTAAGCACTGCATTGTTTAAACCCTCTCTCCACACTCAGGGAGTTTCTCCTCTGGAGCTTTCACTGCTCCGTCCTTCCACTCTGGGTGTTTTCCTGGCTCATTTTCTCCCAATCCTATGGAAGAATCGGCTGCTTTAGAGCCTGCTGTGGTGGCAGAGACCCGCTTCGGTCTGACAGCTCTGCTCTGCTGCAGCACAATGATGTAGGGAACCCCTGCAGCACTGGTGGGCACCGTTCATCCACTGTGCAGTCTTGTGTTGAGGAGGGAGGCAGCGAACATGGGCACCTCCCTGGGTGCTGGCCTGCAGCTGGGTGAGACCCAGACCTGTTGGGATCTGCCCTTGCCTGGAGATGGTGGTCACTAACGTGGGTGTTCTTACAGCACATCAGGCCAAGCTGGCTCAAACAAACCCTCCTGGATACCCACCCCATCCTGTCCTCTGGAGCCCCCAACACAAGAGGGATGTGGAGCAAGTCCAGGGGAGGCCATGGAGATGCTGCGAGGGCTGGAGCAGCTCTGCTCTGGAGCCAGGCTGAGAGAGCTGGGCTGGGGCAGCCTGGAGAAGAGAAGGCTCCTTAAGGGGAGACCTGAGAGCAGCTCCAGTGCCTAAAGGGGCTGCAGGAAACCTGGAGAGGGGCTTGAGACAAGGGATGGAGGGACAGGCCAAGGGGAATGGCTTGAACCTGACAGAGGGGAGACTGAGCTGAGCTCTTAGGCAGAAGCTCTTCCCTGTGAGGGTGCTGAGGCGCTGGCACAGGGTGCCCAGAGAAGCTGTGGCTGCCCCATCCCTGGCAGTGCTCAAGGCCAGGTTGGACACAGGGGCTTGGAGCAAGCTGCTCCAGTGGAAGGGGTCCCTGCCTGTGGCAGGGGTTGGAGCTGGAGGAGCTTTAAGGTCCCTTCAACACAAACCAGGCTGGGGTTCTGTGATCCACTCCCCTGGCTCAGAGCAGAGCCAGAGCTTTCTCTGCAGCTCTCAGGAGCACGGTGCCTTGTCTGGACCTTCCCCAGCAGTGTCCCTGTCCCTCGGCAGCAGCACAGCACCGGCAGGGTTGCCCCTGCAGCAGCCCTTGCTCCCACAGCTGTCCCACGCTGGGATCTGGGACTCGGCAGATTCCAGACCAACCCTTCCTGCCGTGTGCTGGAACAGCCCATCAGGAGGTGGCACAGCGGGGTTCCTGCTCTCAGCCCAGTGTCTGCTGTGGGATGCAGGGGAAGGAGCTGGGAACACAAACACATCTCCTGTGCACATCCCCGCTGCTGGGAGGCTGCAGTCGTGGAACCAGCCCTTTCTCACTGCCTGGCTCTGAGCGGGGCCAGCTCTGCTCCTGCACCATCACAGCACGTGTCCTGGGGAGCAGGTACCGGATTCACCTCCAGGCAGAGACCTTGACTGCCACAGGAAGAACCTGCTTTGTCTGATTCTGAGCATACCTGAAGCAGGAGGTTGTGACGGGATGGGGAGGGAGACAAGAATTCCAGGTAAATCACTGGTGAGGATGGCTGGAAGATCACAGGCCACAGGAAACTGACTGGAGAAAGAGCAAAGGAGGGCAAGGGAGGTATAAGCTTTGGTCCACCACTACGTGGACTTCCTGTCTTAGCAAGGCTCAGGGGAAGGTAACCCCTTCCTTGGCACTGGTGCCAGCAGCACGGGCACCCGTGGGGTCACTGCACCCTGGAGCCAACATCACAGGAGCATCAGAGGGACACTGGCTTTGACCAACAAAGGTTCAGGCCCAGTGTGTGTCTCCAGGAAGCTGGCTGGGATGCTCTCTGCAGGAGATGTGAGAGGGGCTGAGAGCAGAGGGACAGAGAGGACAGCGGGAAAACCCCAGAGAAAAGAGAAAAACTATTCCAGAAACCCATGTTCCCCACCAAAATAGGGTTGCTAATCTCATCCTGGTATACACTTCAGATCCCAGCTCTGCCCAAGGGCCACCAGCTCCTGGCTCCCAGGAAGGCCCATCACATCCCATGACGTGACTTAGAATCACAGGATCATAGAATGGTTTGGGTTATAAAGGACCTTAAAGCTCCTCCAGCCCCAACCCCTGCCACGGGCAGGGACCCCTTCCACTGGAGCAGCTTGCTCCAAGCCCCTGTGTCCAACCTGGCCTTGAGCACTGCCAACTCTTTATAAAAATATTCCCTCAACTGGGTGTTCTTGGAAGAAGAAACATTTAGGTATCTGCCCTGATGAAAACTTGGCTCTGGCTCAAGCTGAGTCTCTTCTGCTAGTGTGATTTGCAGAGAGACCACGAGGTTTGGTGCCAGGAAAATAGAAAATATGTTGAAAGGCTGAGTCAGGCTGGAATAAATGAAATACTTCTTTCCTCCACGTGGGTATTAGTGAGCTAAATTAATGATTTTTGAGCTTCGACCTTTTTACATTGGTTTGTCAGTGAATGTCCCTGTTCTTCCAGGCTAGAGCTTGGCATGGGCTTTGGGGAGGTGAGAAGAAGCAAGCCTAATTAAAGAGATTGATCGTGGTGGTCTTGGTGCGTTTGGAAAGGTGTTGATGAGAAGTGAAGCATATTTTGGGAACACTGAATCTGTGGGCCCGGAAGGCTGGGCAGGTCACTGAGTCAGCAAGGCGCATGCATGTATTAGGTTGAGTGGAGCAGCACAATTCAGGAGGATGCAAATTTTGGCCAGACAGATACTGGTGAGAATCCCTGCCTTGGTTGTTAAAACCCCAAAACCCAAATTTAGCC